GCTTTTGTTACTGTTACAACTAATCTAGTTGTGTAATCTTACTAGCAGGGTAAGGTTTTAGCAACACTACATGGCACTAATTTACACATTTTATGAATAAGTAGTATATTTACAAACTACTTTAATCAGAAGCAGACAAATAAGGGAAACATCAAGGTTTAAGACAAAAAAAGGGGGGTAACATGTTACACACGGCCCAGTCCCCCGTACTTCAGAAGCGTGTCACGTGATCAGGTGCGCGCTGACGGCTGCAGTGCATCGTTTCAGCGCTACATCACTAAACTTCACCAAGTACTAGATCAACAAAGCATAACCCGAACACTTTGAATAAATGTCAAGTTTATATTAATATCATATTTAAAAAAGAGAGACTGCACCAGACTAACGTACAATTACACGATACTTCGCAGTTATTTAAAACAAAAAAGACTTTGTATTCAGATGAATGAATTCAATCTGCAGGACTGGGTCTGAAGAATTAAATACCTAACTCGCGATTTACCGCTGCAGAACAATGTAATTCCATACATTTACACAAGACAACTCGCCGGTCGATGTTATGTAATTAGTGAAACGTCTGGACGTTTCCAAATGGGGCGAGTAAATTAGTGAGAACGGCGAAGCAAGAATGTGCAGCGCGAGCATTCATAGCATTATTACTCACCGAAGTGAGCGAGACCATCCTCCGCTCTTTCAGGGAAGAGCCCACCGCAAGTGAGACCTCCACGCAAGACACTTTGAACTCTAGCAGCCGATACACGATAGTTCACTGATGCCCTTCAAGACAGTATAAACAACAACCGAGGCATTTTGGTTGTTTCTGTCCTTGTAACATCCCAAGCTCTTGACTTCCAAAAAAAAAAAACGGTCGCTCACTTTAAGTGACGTCGGCGAGCGTTTCTTTCATCTAATTGGCTAATCCTGCTCTCGAACGTCATCACAATGCCACCGCCAACAATGTCACCCTGGCGACGGGAATAAACACTTTTGAGATTAGTAGCAGCGCTTGATGCGATTTAAAGGGATGGTTCATACAAACAAACAAACAAATAAAAAAAATTAATACAAAATCTACAAATAAATAAAAATGATGTATCATTTACTCACCCTCATGTACCAAACCTATATAACATTCTTTTTCGCGTGGAACAAAAAAGAAATGTTAGGCAGAATGATATATACATATATTAATATTTTCAAAACGATGCTAAACAGAAAAACCCTAGAGTGGCTCTAAAAACAAAATCACAGTAAACATATTTTGAAAAAAGAAATGGCCACGACAGCAGTGATGTTCATTAAAACTAGTAACAGTTTTAGTAAACTGAAATACAGCTTAAATAAAATACAATATAATTATATGAAAAACTTTTAAAAAACTTAATTGAAGTACTAAAATGACTTAAATATAAAAACATAAAATTATCTTCAAAAAAAAAAAGAAGAAGAAAAAAATTATGAGCCCATTGTGAAGTTACTAAAACTTTAACTAAAATTAAAACGAAAACTGAAAATAAAATGTTATTTCAAAATATTAATAATATTATATAAATAATACTGTAATTACAGTCCATAAAAGTTTCTTTTTCTTCACAATTTAAGTGG